ACATCACAAGCTGGAAATAACCAGTGATATGCACAGGGAGAGGAAAGCTGGGTAGACTCAAGCCCCTGCCTTTATGCCTCAAAAGTGTCCTTTTTCTCTTTGTCATAAAGATAGTCAACAACTACGAAAAGATACACCTGATTACACACCTTAGTAGCATAGGGTGCCACTCTGTAGCCGGAAGTAAACATGACCCACTTTCAACAAGGTCTATAAATGTACTGGCGTGACGAGGGCATTGACTTAATTCTTATTTCGGCCCGGCATGGCCAGGTGGTTAGGGCGCTCGACTCGCAATCTGCGGGTCGCGGGTTCGAATCCCCGTCACACCAAATATGCTCGCCCTTTCAGCCGTGGGGGCGTTATAATGTGACGGTCAATCCCACTATTCGTTGGTAAAAAGAGTAGCCCAAGAGTTGGTGGTGGGTGGTGATGACTAGCTGCCTTCCCTCTAGTCTTACATTGCTAAATTAGAGACGGCTAGCGCAGATAGCCCTCGTGTAGCTTTGCGCGAAATTCAAAACAAACAAACAATTTTTATTTCATTCATACGGATACGTCATCAATACTATGTGCGTGTTGTTATGTGGTATAACAGGATTACGTAATCAACACTAGGGCGCAATGCTAGGTGTGTTACGTATGACAATTTCTAACAGCCTAAAACTGAGTTAAATAGTAATTTAGATTTAGTAGTTAAATATTTGCCGATATATCTCCAATTTATGATATTTGCCAACAAGATTGATACACACCGTCTTCGTTTTTAACACAAATACGTTTTAATATACACACAACAGTACAATTTACAATAACAATTATTACAAACAATGATTTATAAACAGAAGTTTCACAAACTTACAAACACTATAAAGTTTTCTTTCCAGTCTGGAACTTCCTTGATATCTTATCGAGGTTTCATGATGAGCGAGTTAATTACGAGTTCATGTAGAGATGACCCGCTGGGAAGCTAGCTAGCTTTGTTCTTGGCCACACACACTAGGTTTTCCACGACTAATTTATATGTCTTCGTAAAATTACTAATGTTCGATGAGAATCCACTGAAGTTAAATGATTTGTAACGTTCGAAATTTATGAATATTCCTGGTCAGATATTTTAAGTTTTCCGATTGTTAAGCTTTATAACAATCACAGTTATAGCTTTCGAAGTTTTATAGCACACCGATATATATAGCGAACTAATAATAGACACTCTATTTTTGGCGCATTGCGTTGGTTATATTTATAGCTCTGTGGAGGCGTTTTAGAAATTTCAATCTTACATAACAATACTAGTTAAAGTGTTTACATACATAGATATATTGTTGATTCTTACTCTCGAGAATCTTCTACAACAATAAGTGGGAGTTTCGCAATACTAATCTAACAGTATAAGCTATGTATATTTTAAATATAAACTTAATCTAAACAACGTTCATATTAAAATAAATACATAACAAAAAATCTGTTACACTGTACACTGAATCCTAAAAATGATATCCATTTTTCTCCATCACGTACAGATTTTTTAGAAAATGTCATAATGCAATACATGAAAGAAAGACCACAACACGTAGTTTTGACATATATTTCACACACAAAATCAAGATAAATGAGGATGCATATTCGTTTGACATCAGTGTACTTCTCTTTTCTTCGGTTTGTTTGTAGTTTTGTTAACAAACATAATAATCAAAATGTTTGTTGTGGTAAACGAAGTAATAATTTGATCTAAGTAAGGGTTTTTATTTCTTCCCTATTTGTAAAAAATTCTTACGTGATAGAACAAAATGATATTATTTTCGAAATCTGCATAGCTGAATTATGGAAAACCTGTTATTAAAAACCAAACACAAACTGAAACATATATGGATTGCTAAGGTGGAATTGACTTTCATACAAGTACACACCGTGGTCACGAGTAAATAGACACCACCTTTTCAGAAAAAATGAAAATTTTCAGTCA